AGATATAAAAGTTATCTCCCTTTAATTCTTTAACTTTTGATTTTTCAGCAAAATGAATCATTCAATGAAGTGAAGATTCCATTTAACCGTTTTATTGATGCCAGTTTTCAGTCAAATGACATTCGATGTTATGATTGCCTCCACTGTCAACAGTAGGCTTTCTAGTTCAGCTAATTTTTTTATCCACTCAGCTCTCCTATTTTCAGCTTTTCATTCACAGAAACCCAATTCATCTAGATTACCTCTCTAATTTCTTCTGATAACGTGTCAGTAGGTTGTAAAATTCAAGTTTTCATTATAAGGCATTTCTTTTGTGTTCACTACCTATTTCAGATAAAAAAGAGACTTCTTTCTCTTCTTACTAATTGTTTGTTTTTTTCATTTCACCCCAAGCAAGGTGATAAATCCACTAAGACTCAAGTGGCTACTGAGAGTGAAAGAAGCTGAGAAAACATTATTGAGGAGAGAGAGGATAATAAAAGAACAGCATTTATGGATACAAAAGCTGGTGATTGATGTTGCATTTAAATTTTTGTGGAATATAGTTGACAGAAAAGCAAGAAGCCAGAAAAGAGATCCACAAACAAGAAGTGCAAAGAAACAATTAGCATAAAAGTTATGGCCACATCAAGCTATTTCAACAGTAAAATAATGAGACCTATCTGCCAATCTAGTACTGCACTTAAATTCATGAAGTTGAGATACAAAATAAGAAAGCTCATCAGAACAATTATCATGAAAATATTTATAGAAAAGGCACTGGAAAGCTACATTACATCAGTAGGAAAGTGACTGAAGCCAACATGCCAGATCAGGACTAATAAGATTGCAGATTTGTATTTTATCAAGAATCCCTAGAAACACAGCAGGAGCATGGGGACCAGATGAGTTAACAATATTCAATGCATGGAATGGTAGATTTGTAAAGTGGCAAGATAGATTCTGGAGAGAAAAATTATCTAGCATGAGCCAACTTTCCTAGCAGCAGACCAAGCAATTGATTCAGTATAATCGCTCCAGTTCATGTTAATGGAAAACATGAGATTAAAAAGACACAATGAGCTGCTTTTCTGGAGATTAGCATCAGTCATACTGATGAAAGGCAAAAAAATGGTTTTCTAAGAAGATTAAAGGAGAATAGTTTAATTATGGATGCGTTAAAATCAACAAGCCATTACTTACCCCAGTTAAGAAAAAAATTGAATTCATTTTTGTGATAAAAAAAAATTACCAATTTGACTATCAGACTTATCAGTAAGATAGGAGTAAATAGTTTTGTACAACCAAAGAATTCTCTGGAAGTAACTGACAGCAAGAATGAGTGCAGTATTCCAAACTACTTTTGAAATGGTAATTTTATTTCTCAAAATTATATCAAATATTAAGACATAACAACTTTGTCAGACAATTTTTAAAACCTATACTTTGAGATATTTAATAATATTTATTGTCTTCATCTTTCCAGTTGATTTATTTATTTTGATTTTTTGTTTTTGTTTTTGTCTTTTTTCTTTTACAATATTTAAAACAAATCATTATTTTGCTTTCTTTTGGTTTGTCAGATTCTGATTACAATTGGCCCATCACTAAGTGCCCCCACTCCCAGAAAATCATTTGGGGTATACCATGAAAATGATTTGAACTAATTTTACTGTGTAAATTTTGATTCTGCCTCTACCCTGACTTAAAGGCTTGCCTTTTCACCACATTCAAAATACTCTGACAGTTTATTTAGTCTCCTACCCACACTGCCAGCAGGACAAACTCCCATATTACTTCCAACAACTCACCCTGGTAATTGTATCTTATGTACACATCATGGAGATATGTACCTACAAAATAAATATTGTTATTGTTAGGTTAGGGGTCATTTGTTTCTTAGAAACAGTGACGAAAAAAGTCGAAAATTTCTACGAATGGGGTCTTGTAAGAAGGATCCACTTAATCCCAAAATGTAGTCAAAGGAATTAATTAAAAGTAAAGTTTTTAGACAAATAAAGTGTTACATTTATTTAATATTGTTTTAATTATCTATATTAATGCATGCATAATACAAATACTAGAATATTTTAATAGTTTTATAATAAAAATGAAAATCTCAATCATAGAACAACCAATCTGCATAAATTACAAAGCAAAATTTGAAATTGTTTTCAAAGTATAATTAAATTTGAAACGTTCAATATTTTTCTTTTTTTTTTTTAGTTTTCCCTTTTTGGTTATTTCTCAAGTGATAGAACATCACTTCGGGGCATACCAAGAAATTTCCCAGTATTACATTGGGCCAGTTCACCACTGTTAAGAAGCAAAGCAAAGAGTGCAGGTTTTTGATATGTAATCTCTAATCTCCTATATAATGTTGAATATTGGACAATTTCATTACAAGTAAATAAAAACTTGAAGATGTATGAATAGTTTTACTAAAGAATGTTGTCAGTACTGTGGATAGATGATGTGAGAAATGAACACATTCTATACAGAATAGAAAATACAAAGAAAATATTACTGATAATAAGATGGCTGAAATTTTAGGTATATATAATGAAGAAAGAAGGTCTGGCAAATTTAATACTCATGATATATCACATTGCAAGTCCTGTAACCCATTAGGGTCATGAAGGCACCATATATACAACAGCAGTAGCAGCAGTGGTGTGTCTATGGCAAGATAAACTGACAGAGCACATTACTCTTCAGGCTGGGTTTGAATTCAGAGATTTTTCTTATCATAGACTGGTTGCCACATTAAAGCAAAAGAGTCCAGTCTATCTTGCTGTTTAACCCATACCAGGAGGAAAAAGGATTCATGCCTTTTCCAAGAGCATTGGTATGAAGTGAACAAACCAGAATCAAGCAGAAATTAAACACTCCTTTGAACATACACATAATTTCCCCACAGACACCTTCTCACCTCCCAATATAAATATGGTAGGCTCCTATCAATTTTGATGCAAGAGGGCCCAACAGTTCAGAGTGTACATTTGTGTAATGTAGCAAAAATTAAAATCTGCATGTTATGCTTATTTCCTTGGCCAAAAACAGACATTACATAAGCTATCACAGAACCATTTACATTCACTAGATTTTTAGAAACATATAAAAGATGCAGAAACCCCTTCTTTCCTCTTTTTGTCTCATAAAATTTGGCCTTTTTTTCATTGATTCATCCCTCTAGAAGGATGTCGTAGTCTCCCAAAATGCAGTCATCACAACTAGGACATATTTCATCGTCCTGAAAAAAACCTGATACAAATATACATTTCAGGCATGGAGATTTTATCCACCAACCACACTTTTACATTTTCTTTCTTATTATTTCTTTGTTATAAATTCTTTTCTGTCTTATTTGCTGGTTGTATCCCGTCTTGCATGATTTAGCATTCTCACTCTTTCTCTCCAAATCTGCTTTCTATGACTACTTGGATTTTTGGAAGCGGAAGACAGTAACATCACATGTTACTTTCAAGCAGCATGACCAAGTGTTTCTGTTTGAATGTAGTTTAGATAGTTACCTTTAAAAGTTTTATCTAAGAAAAATATAATACCTGCAACATATTTCTATTGAATAGGATTACTTTTATGCTATTAATAGCCATTTCTGTGATTGGCTCATTATTATTCTAGCAGCCAATGTTATACACAGATTTGTTCTAAATTAGAATATTAACATCGTTAAGTTTTTTTGGTAATCGTTTTTCATTAAAATATTTTAAAATGGAACAGGCATTTGGTTTTCAAGGGAAGCAACTCTGCATTTTGTTAAAAGAGTTATTTTTAATTAGTTCACGTTGTTGGCACAGTACATTTAAAACTGCTCTCTCTTCTCTCTCTCTCTCTCTCTCTCTCTGTATATATATATATATATAAGGGTTCATGGTTATTTTAAAGAGGGAAAAAATTCCTTATAGTAATATAAAATATGTGTGTGTGTGTGGAAAATGAATATATACACACATACTGGCAAAAACAAACACACTAGAAGGACCACATGTGTGCACACACGCACGAACCCTACATACTATACAAAGTGTATATATACATTATATAGGTTTCCTTTTAATAACACAATCGTGAAATTATGTAAAACAAAGTATAATATTTTTTTTCTCATTATATTAGTTTTTTTTTTAATATACATAACACAACCACTATAACATATTTCCTTTATATATATATATATATATATATATATATATAAAAAAAAAGAAAGAACAGTAAGATATATAATCCGGTGTTCTTATAGATATTTTTATTTTTACAAAATAGTGCTCAATGTAAATTTACAGAGCATAAATATTATAAATTGATTTATTTAAAATATGTTTTTTTTTTAAGCTACACAGTTCTAACTATGTTTCAAAAATGGAAGCTAAAACTACGAATTTAATTTTGTAATTAAATTAAAGACATTAGTTCCATTTCATCCTCAAGCGAATTTTGGAGTAACTTTTAAAATTACTGGGTTTTAAAGACACAGCTAAAATCATAATTCACGTTTCCAAGGTTACAGATAAATCTACTTCAACTAGACTAAAGATTTTTGTAACCTAATAATATACATACTTATACTTGATGTAAAAATAATTCTACATACTATAAGGGATTCAAATACATTTAATTGTTCTCAAAAAAAAAAAAATAAAAAAAATATAGTATATTAAAAATTAAAATATTTCAAATCGTAGTTAAATAACATGTATTCTAACCTAAACACCCCCAAAAATCTTTAAATATACAAATAGAAAAAAATGCTGTAAGAATTTTTGCTGTTAACAATAAGTTTTTAAAAAACCCAGACAACATGCATTCGACAGATGTCAGATTTCATTGAAAAATACATCCCTACCCCCTACCAAAACGTAACTAATAACAGATACATCAATAACAGACATAATGAACACGCAGACACCCCTTGTCTAGTTGAAGTAGATAAATAAAGGACTGTCCTTTCTGATAAGGGATGTTTGACAACTCTACAAGAAAAGAAATAAAAGATTATCTCACCTTATAGTTTTCCATTGGTCAAAACCATCCAATGGCTTGGTGCCATTCAAAGATCCATCTGCTAAGCCAATCAATGTAGGAAACCAATCAGACACATGAATCAGAGCTTTTGAAATGACACCTTTTTGCTTAAGGAGGTTGCTTGTTACAAATCCGACACCATGTAGTCCTCCTTCCCACAGAGATCCTTTCCATCCTCGAAGGGGCCAGTTATTACCACCTTCTAATATCTGGCCACCATTGTCTGCCATAAACAGGTATTTAAAAATAGTATCAAGATTGTTTTTCTATTTTAAAGAATTGCAATAACAACAGATAGAAATATCAGTCAATGATAAAAAAAATCTTAAGTAGAAAAATTAATTTATAACAAATAAAAAATCATAAGTAATTTAATGCTTCCTATGCTGTGAATTTACATATGTCTTTATGCAACTTGCATTTCTTGCTTTCAATGTATATATGGTCTAGAGCTTCTGCTATTTGCTTTGAGGTTCTTGATAAAATCCAAAGAAAAATCAGCAATATTATTTATCCTGATCTGGCAGCTCAGTTTCAGTCACTTACTCACCGTAAGGTTGTCTTTTCTATAAATACTTTCATGGTAATTGTTTGGATGATCTCTTCACTATGTTACCTAGACTTTTTTAATTTAAACGCAGTACTAGACTGACATTGGGATCTCATCAATTTACAGTTGAGTTGGCTAGATGTAACAGTTTCTTCTCTTGCACTTCTCACTTGTGGAACTCCCTTCCAGCTCCTTCCTTTGCAGACAACTTTAATCTCCAAAAATTTAAATGCAATGTCAATCACTATCTACTGTCCTTCTGATTACTCTTTTTTCTTCCCGCTCATTATTAATGCTTCTGTTCCTAATTCTTCCACACCCTTGTATTTTAGTGGCTTTTCTGGCTTATTACGAGTGAAGCCGATTAAAATAAAAAGAAAAAAAGACACCATGAAATATCAGTTCCTAGCATTTGTGTTAGAAACTAACTAGTACTTAGTCCTGAAGAGACATGGTACATAGAAGCACATAGAAGACACACTTAGTGCTATTACCAAACCCATGTAGACACATTGTGCCATACAATGTAACTGGTTTTGTTATGTATTTTTATTCTATTGTGTGTTGAGGATGTTGTTTAGCTTAGTGTGTCTTATGGCTACATCACATTGAAAAACCAGTTCCTATAAGATCAACCAAGTTAAGCAACATTGAGCCTGGTCAATACCTAGATGGGTGGCCACTTGGGAATATCAGATGTTGTAAGCTTGAATGTGTGGGTGATAATGGCTCGGAATTGAGAGAGCCAAGTTCCAAATACCATTGTTTGTCATATTCACTTAAACAAAATACCCTTAGGAAAGGTATAAAACCATCACTTCTCCTCCCAGATATGGATTAATTTGTAAGACTTGTAGAACTAAATCATTAATATCTCCCCTCCCCTACAAAAAAATTTTACAATCTAAAAATGTTTTCTGGCTTAAAATTACCTGCAAAGGATTGATAAGCTGTAGAAAACGAATCAATCAAATATTAGTTTAGTCTGTATTGCATAGTATCCAATTGAAAACAAAATGTCTATGCTCATAAGAAATCTTTATTGTCATTTATTTCCAGTAAATAATAATTTGTTATTTTTCACAAAATGGGTCAGCACAGTCAGGAAATAATGCTATAACAATGCAGCAGTGAAAGTATTAAGTAACCATACAGTTTCATGGGTAACATAAGAAGAGAGACAAAAGTGAAAGACACACAGTGAGAATCAAACAAAAATGTGGAGTAGATAAAGATTGTTAATTCCACTTGGTTTTCAGTTTCCTCGTTCTATTTGACTGTAGTGTGTGACTTGCTATTTTCTATTAGTAGATTCATTTGGGATGTGGTATAGAATGCATAAATGATAAGTGAAAATCAGTATCTGAAGAGATAGGAATTGGTCATTGGTTCATTCATTCATTTTCTATGGCTTATTAACCCTTTGCAGATTATTTACAGCCAAGAAATGTTTTTTTAGATTGTAAGAATTTTTTTCTTGACAATAATAATGTGTTATGATGGGCTTGTTTGACTCCTGTTACTAGTTAGTAAAATATAACATATATACATAAAAACAACAAAGTGAGACATTTATACATATATAGAAGGATTTATTATCAGGATTTGGTCTGTAAATATATTCAGTAAATATATGAAAGTTATTGTAATGTGGTTGTTAGTAAATGTTTCTGGTTTTTTTTTTTGTGTTTGTCATGGTGAATGAATAAACTATTTGCAAGTGATAAGTCTTTCATTAAAAGATAATAACAGTGAAACTGATATTTGTGTAAAACTTAGCTGTGGTCTTCATTCCTAGAGCCACTCAAATCCACGTCCTCAATTTGTGAGAGGTCAATGAAAAGAGGAAAGTTTAAATTTCCTGCTGATAGGGTGATTTCCTTTTTATTATGGAATCATGGGAATTAGGTCATTTTTATTCTCGTGATCATTACAAATGATTTAATGACTGAAATTGGAACTCAGCTCTCTAATTAACAATTCCGAGCCATTATCCATTACATCATCCACACATCCAAACTTACAGCACCTGACATTCCCAAGTGGTCACCCATCTATGCACTGACCAGGTTTGATGTTGCTTAACTTTGCTGATCGTATGGGAATACATTTCCCAAGAGTATTTGCACATGTGAATATAACAAACCCAACTGGAATTGGAACTCAGTTCTCTAATTAACAATTCCGAGCCATTATCCATTACATCATCCACACATCCAAACTTACAGCACCTGACAAGTGGTCATCCATCTAGGTACTGACCAGGCTTGGTATTGCTTAACTTTGGTGATCATATAGGAACTAGTGTTTCAACGCCATATGGCTGTAAACCCTGATCATTTCAACATTTCATACAACATCGCAAACAAATCTATTAATAGAAAACAACCTTCTTACTTTCCCTGCCATGAGGTTAGGCTAATGACATAGGTATTCATAGTTGGGATAAGGATGATCTTGAATAAAAAATATTAACATCCTCTACCAACATATGTCTACATTTCTGAGATGAGGTTTGTAACTATTTACACTATTTCCCTTGTTCAGATTGTTGTCCTCATCTTTATTCTCATATTCACGATGTTTCAGCCATTGTACATTCTGACCTACTTCAGGTGATATACATTGCAATTTCAAACTGAAACCGTAGATTGTTCTTTTTTCCATGTGCTGTGCCTGGACATCTCAGTTTCACTTATTTCCCCAAGGACACATGGATAAAATGTTGGTTGAAGTAATCCAGTGACTTGATCCAAAGGGTTGTGGGTTCAATACCTGACCACAGCAGAGGTGACCAAAATCTTGGAGAGTTGAGTTACTAAATGGAAATAACTGAAACTGAGAAATCCAGAAAAGGCATGGCACATGGAATGAGAACAGTCTACCCTGGAGGACAAAATAAAAAATAAAGTGTTCGGTTCAAAATTCCAACATATATCACCTGAAGAAGGCCGGAGCATACAATGGCTGAAACATCATGAATATGACAATAAAGATCAGGACAACTGTCTGAACAATGTAAATAGTGTAAATAATCCTATACCAATTATTCCAAGAAATAGTGCTCAAGACAAACCTTTCCAAAATAGAAACTATGATCTGGAATTCATAATGTGGAATTAGTAAATACTAAACACTTCATATACCTTAGTGTATGGAACAGTTATAACAAATTTATTATAGGAGATTAGGAAACATAAAATAGTCTGTGCTAAGAGTAGTTTCATCTAACAATACAAATTACTACAAAAACAAAGTCATGTCCTAAATAGTTTTGTTAGAGCAAGACTTTCTTATGGATTCCATGCATGATGCCAGACACGTTTAGAAATATCTAAACTGTCAGCTGTATACAACTGCGTCCGAAGTGAATGAATTATGTAGCTCTTAGTGAGAACCACCCTTGTTCAAAACTTGTAGACAACAACCAAGCTATATAATTCTTTACAAAAAAAAAATCACTGAGTGATGACAATAACTGATATCAAAATTTCAGCTAAGACATTTTTATTGTTATATCAAACATAATTATGACAAACCTGTTGAAAAAATCAAGATAGTGTTATTCCAGAGTCCACGTCTTTTGAAGGCATCAGTTATATTTCCAACAGCCTCATCCATACATGTGGTCATTCCTGAAGAAGGAAAAACAGTACACAAACATTTACAATCCATCAACTGAGATATGTATACATGGGCCAAATTAATAAACACTCCCTTTATTAATTATTAAACACTCAAGAAAAAAAATGATTACTATAGTAAATTTAAAGTCAACATTTATTCAATAAAACATTACATTACAGAGATTATTTTCCTAAATTTTTAAGATTACTGATACTTAAAGATTATTTTTGTAAATTATTTAAGTATCTCTAAAGATTTTCTAAAAAAGGACCATACCCTGATGAAAAAAGGCTCCAAACTTGATAAAAACAATGTTTTATCATCAAAATGTTTATGCTTTTATTAAGAGGAAAGACCAAAGTATTTTTTGATTATTTTATTAAATTTTTTAATCCTTTCTAGCATGTTCAAAATTTTAATTAAAAATCTTGTTTTTCTTGTGTCAGCAGGATAGTATAGGGATTTTAAGTATCATTTTTGGTGTTAAAAACACATTGTTTTGGAAATTCTTGCAAAAATCAAATAATTTTTGAATTTTAACAAAATTTTCAGGACGTATTCACAAATGAATTAAATTATTTTCAAAATTTTTTGATGAATAATGATTTTTTACAAGAATTATTTTAGTTTTTAAAATTTTAATTAGAAAAATTTATTAATTTTTTTTAAAGTTTTTAATTTAAGAAGCATTCACGTCATTTTCTTAGATTATGTTTTACAGATAAAGTCTCTGTAGAACAACATTTGTCCTGTCATCAAGGCTGTCAACAGGCTGTTGGGTTAAAAAATGCATTTCTGCAATATTTTAAACTTAAAGTAAATAATATTTGTTTTAAATCAGATTAATTATACTTTAAATCAGCTAATATTCCTTAACCCTTTGAGCCCTGACCACTGTTTTACCAGTGGTAGAGAAAAATGACTTAATGCGCAGTCACCAGTTGAACGGTGGGTAAACACTTGTAACTATTTTCATATTTACCATGAACCATTACATACCAATTATATCGCAAAATTTACTCAGGCAGAAGGGTTAAAATTGTTCAGGAACACAAGGATTAAAAGGTTAAATAAAGTTTCGGAAATGTATATTTTATTTTTGGAAGATTTTTTGATAAAGAGAATTACATTGCGATGAAAGACAACTAAAACGGGGTGCTGATCAGCTATTTTAGTAAAAAAAACTAAAAAACAAACTGTTTCCAGTCAATTTAAATTAGTTTTTGAAATACAGCAAATATTTTGCTTATTGGAAATATTAAATTTAATCTAGCATGTAATTAAAACTAAACTAAAAGCATCTATAAAGATTTTTCATTTTTAAAAATTTATTTTAAACCTTAGGTTTCATGTTTTTTGAGGGGGGGGTCCCTATATTTGTTTATGCATGCATCTTCCAGTCAAGGTGCATCAAAATATATGTATGGTGCTATCCAACAGTTCATGGAATTGGTATTCAGAGTTTCTTGTCTTTCGTTTCTCTTGAAATCATTCCACCAATAAATACAAAACCTTTTCTTTTTTAATCAACTTTTCCTTTCTTTGAAGAAAATTGTTAAAAGTTGGCAGTGTTGGATCAAATTATGACAAGGTGGTCCTGTTTCTTGTTCATCCTCTCTTTCTCTCACTAGCCCCATTCAAAATCATGAATAAACTGTTACAGTGACTGAAAGAAAATATCACTTATTTTTATTAGGTTACATATATAGTGACAATGAACATTTTGGGAATAAGGAAAAAGAAATAAAACTATTATCACATTTTTGTTTTAGGGCATTTGAACCCAATAAATACAGTCATGGTTTCAGCTTTTCTTATTGCTTCCCACTGACTTTACCATAACTCCACCAGTCATGCACTAAGCTTTAGTTATTTTCTGCACTAACATAAACAAATATTTCTGATGGTAGATGAAAAAATTAATAATTAAGCTTCAAATATGTATTTTTTTTTTTACCTAGGTTTTGATACTTAATTTGTATGTTATATGTTAAAATTAGAATGCAAAAGATTTTCAGTGGTAAAGAATTAAAGCAAGTATTAGTGACATCATAGGTCTTTTATATGCATGATGTCAGGTTAATGATTTTAATATAGAAATATATTACAATTGAGGGAAATTCTCATTTCAGTGATAAGGAACTAAGGCGAGCATTACTGATATCAGAGCACTTTCTTACTTTTTTTTTTCCAATGAGGTTCACTCTGTACAAAGCCACCTGAGGTAGAGGGTAAAAAAGTAAGAGGCACAGTTTATACAGCTGTGTGGGGAAGGTAATGATTAACTCTAGATTTGAACTAGTTAAGATTGTAGTGATTGGAAAAACATCTTGGGATTTAGTTTCACAGAGCAGTTGTTCGTGAGAAGAAACTACTCAAGTAGAACGTCTCACCAATGGAATACACAGGGAATGAGGATGATTCACTACAATGTTTCTAGTGGGTCCTAGCCATCAAGGTTAGAACTGATGGAACTAAGGAATGTAGTTTGTTTAAGCACTTTCCATGGAAGTAGCAACAGAGCAGTTAGAGATTTGCGACATATTACAGAAATTTATTATAAAAGAAGAAAATTGCCAGTAAACCCCATGCATCTTAGTAGCTTTTATCGCTTCACTTGGTGGAGGGGTGATTGGAAAAAATTGTTAATGTCAGTGATAAGGAAATAAGGTAAGCATTACTGATGTCCTAGAACTTTTGTATTTATTGACAGATGTATTAAAGCTAATGTATATTATATATATTATGAGAATATTCTCAAAGCATACTTTACAGTATGGTACAAATTGAAAAATTATCTAAAAATATTCCTTAGATTATTCATATATCTTAAAACAAAAATTAAACAAAATAATTTATCATAATTCTTGTGTTAATTTGAGTTTGGTTAAACCTCTCCATCAAATTTTCCTTGGAAGTTATCTGCAAATTATTTCAGTTAAGACTATAAGTATCAGCCATTTTTAACAAAAAAATTTATTAAAGAATAAGTTAATCACAAGATAGAAACAAAAAGATAGAACTTGAAAATAATATACCTGCATATATTCGTCTGTGTTTGTTTTCTATAAACTCATACGGTTGTAAATATTTATCTGGAACTTGCAGAGGTGCATGCACTGACTGCATGGCAACATAAAGAAACAGTGGCTGCAGATACAAGGAAAAACAGCATTTTGAAAATATGAAAAGAAATTTTCAAAATATATACATCAGAAACATTTTCAATATGTTATATTTAATTTTTAATTTTAATTTTTTTAATTTTTTTGTATTTAAACCAATTTTCTCACAACTCTTTTACTTTTGGTGTTTCTTCTGAAATGAATATTATATCTTAAACAACATTTTTGGCCATATTCTCCCACCACTAATTACATGATCTGCATTTAATTTCAGTTGCTTAATTTTCCTGACACTGATCACATGATTAGCATTTAAGTTTGTAATGCTTATGACAATTGTTTTTCTTTGTTGTTTTATTCATCCAGCTTGTCTTCTGTTATCATTTCACTTTCATTCACACACACACACATAAAGAGATGTTTTGCCAGACATAAAAATATAATACACTTGTAGGAATACAAAAGGCGATTATCTCCCTTTGGTTGAAATAAAGTCATAAGGATCATGTGACAGCCAATAAATGACATGAGGGCATAGAGTGAAAAAGACCATTAGCAATGTAAAGCATGATGAAGAACATTGCAAGAAAAAATAATGGCTTCACAAGTCTCATAGAAAAACCACTCTACTGCCAGTTTTCCCTTCAGGGAAATATTACAAAAGACTCACTTTTTTCATCTCTTTTTCACACTGCTTGTTGTTGTAGACATGTGTTATAGATTGGGACACATGTAAATATGTGTATATAATTTTGTGTCTGATTTAGCAGTATAAAAAACCCTTTCTAAGAACAAAAAGCATGTTTGTCATTCTTTATCTTTCAGCTATTCCATTCCATCCATGTATTAAGGCGTTATTATATTATGGATATAATAATGCCCATGATGGAAAAAAATACAAACTGGAAATAAACCTTTCTTTCATTGCTCACCCAATATTTGGTAACTTACCTAATATAATGCAACACTATTAACCCTCATTAGCTGGCAACCACAATGTGATATTAACCAACATTATACTTTATTCTATTTTCTATGGATATTCCACACACAATATAAATAATTATATGCACAAGACAAACAGCAAAATTTTTAACAGTTCTAAGAATTTTTCTTCCTTTCTTGAGGCAAAATGAATTTGAAACTACATTCTTATGATAATCAACTCATAGAAACATGTTTTTATCCTTTTTCTTTATCTTTGTCAATACTTTGGTAATCTATGTTTGATTAATTTTTATGTTAAATGTGGATCTGGTCAAATAATATTACCTAACAAAATCCTTTTAGGTTATTATCACATGTAAAAATAAAACACAATGTTGATTACCTTCTTTTCATTGTGTTTTTCAACAACTTCGATCGCTTTCTGAGCAAAAAGGTGAGTTGAGTAATGCCCGTTTTGGTCAGTAACTTTTGTAAGATTGTCCCGCAAATCAAAGCCACAAAAGATATCACAGCAGTAGTGAGTATAATAATTCTCACTGCCAGTCAAGTAACCTTATTAGAAAAAAAAAAAACATTGAGAAAGATTTAATGCTTATTTTTCTAATCTCATATTTCAAAATAAAATTTAAAAAAAATAAAAATAGCATTTATGAAAATTTTTCATTCTTTGTCTTTACTTTACTTTTTTTTATTATAAACATTATATTGAGTGGTTAAACACATTTGAGAAATGAGTCATTAGCACAATAAATTTACTGGTTCAAAGTCACTAGTATTTAACTAAGTATCAAGGCATCGTACATGCATTTAATAGCTTGAAACATGCACCAAAGAGACTACACTAAATCTAATTATAAATGGAAGAAACTCAGTCTGGCAAATTCACACATCTGTCCCACACATAAATTTAAACAGTGTTCTGAAGGTTTTTATAACACTTTTGGACTCTACTTTGAACAGTAAGAATGTATTTAGCTCTAAGCTAGTAAGAAATAATTTTGGATGTAAAAATCAATTAATTGCTTAAAAATTACTTTGTTTTATTTCTGCAAACTTTTATTTATCAAAAGGCAAAAAAATCAAATTCTACAACATAACCAATCAACAAATAGAATTTCAATGACCATTACAACATATAATATTCAATTGGTAGCTTAATTCAAAACAATGAAATAACTGACCATGAGAAATAGAAGGTTTTTTTTACTGGTATGCAGGGGAAGTAGTTACAAAGGAGTGTTCATTGGTAGTTGGATTCTTTATTGCATTGATTTTTAAAGCCTCATACTGACAAGTGATAGTAATCCACTTCAAGGGACAAGATATTGCTCCTTAAATGCTTAAACCGGCTTTGAATAATATGGTCAGATATTGTTTCATTTCTGTCCCAAATTCTGCAAGTAACTTCAGCAATTCTGTGACCCAGTTTAAAATAAAACCTCAAAATTGTCAGAATCTTATTTTATCGACCTATATTGTATCAACAGTGATGATAATTAAAGGATATATTCTAATAGTAATAATAAAAACGAGGAGGAGAATAATAAGAAAGAGAATAATAATAAGATAAATAAAATGAAGAAGGAGAATAATGATAAGATGAAGAAGAAGCAGAATAAAAGTTAGCTGGAAAAGGAGGAGGAAGAATAAATAATAAGAAGAAAGAGAATAAAAATAAGATGAAGAAGGAGATTAATAATAAGATGAAGTATGAGAAAAATAATAATAAAAAGAAGAATAAGAAGAAAAATAATAAGATGAAGGAAAAAATGAGAATAAAATTATAAGGAGAAATTATTATTGTTATTATTAACAAAAAGAAAAACATGGTGAAGTCATAGTCTTCGGATGTGTACATGAAATGAGGGATAACATTTAAAATTTTTTGATAGACCCTAATATCCTGAACCCTAAAGATTCTTACAATTATTTATTCAAATTTTCTAAATACTTGTAATTATTACAAGGGAGTATGGAAAGGCCTTGGCTGACTAAGAAGTCCTTCTAAAAAATAATTCTGATATATGGTTAGATTTTAAGAAATAAGACAGGCCAAGATCTTTTCCACATGCCTTCATGTTACTCAAGAATGACTATAGATGAAGTGTATGTGTGATCAGAAGTTCAAAGATTAAGGAACTAATAACTACTTACCATAATAAGAATCAAATCCTCGACTGGTGGGCAAACATTCTTTTTTATAAAATCCTAAGTGCCATTTGCCAACCATATGTGTGCTATATCCACTTTCTTTCATCTTATTTGCAAGTGTTGGATTGTTAAGAGGCAGGCAGTGCGGTTGTCGAGATGTGATGATGCCATGCTGCAAACCTGTGTGAATCTGAAATTGAATTGAAAACTGGGAATAATGTGTAAACTCTAAAAGTCTTCAATACTCACTTTACAAAATCATCAACTCTCCACTTACCACCACACTTACTGACAGAAGCCTCTTACCTAGTATTATGAACTTACACTTTTTCTTATCTTGAAACTGCTGTCATAATAAATAGGTTTCAAAACATTACACATATTCAGAAGACATCTTTCTAAAATGACATGTAGTTTTGAACCACAGATCTTTTAAGACCATAATCTTAGCAGAAAACGAAAACAAAAGAATATGGTATAATAAATATAAGTGGAATATGGTATAATAATATATAAGTGGATGCTAAAAATATAAGTGGATGCTAAAAATTTCTCATCTTGATTCACATACCAAAATTTGACCAAATTTTTTTTTAAGCAAGATTAATCCCTTGTATATACATGAGCCAATGTAATAAATAAATGTAATAAATGAAGTAAGAAAACATACAAGCATTATTAGGAAGCTACATGCTTCCTAATAATGCTTGAATCTAAAAAATGGACTATTTTATTCTGATCCCATGTACACTTTGCCCCTCGCATTAAAAATGCATTGTGCTTCATTTAGATTGAATGAGCATTCTGTTAAATAAATAATATATCCTGTGAGTGCTAAAATTTCTAAGCTCTCTTTGTGCCAGGAATTTCTGTTGTCTCTTTCTGATTGTATGTATAATGTACAACTTTATAATTCTATGTAAATAAAAGATTTTGATAAGGTCATTACAATTAAATCCTCATTTTATCCTCTACATACCTTTTTGCAAATCTCTTCTTTTTTTTTTTTCAACTGGTAGCCAGGGAATGCCTTTCTTACAAAAATCACAACCCTTAACATGAATAAAAGGAACTTTCCTGTTCACTAAACAGTTTCAATAGGGGAACCCCTCAACAGATTAAAGCTACTATTCATTTCAAAAAAGAAAAAAAAGATGTCAATTGGGACAACTGGCTGCTCTGACATCTGTTATGATAATGACTTTGTTAAACAACAGTCAGTTGTAAAAATAGTCCTATTCAGTTTGCGGTTTCTATTCAGAGAATATCCCAATGCATACGCTACACCTAATTACACACTTTATTAATGTCATTAAGCCATGTAATATAGACTATTATTACCAGAAATGAATGCAAATGAATTTTTTATGGAAGATGATGCTTAAAATCACATGGGGAAAGGATAAGAGATGAAACACTAGCCAACATTTAAGTGTTTTTATTGGGAATGCCATAAACTGTTTAAATATAACAATGGTTGTCTACAAGAGAGACAAATATGTGAGCTACAAATTGGAAATATCAGAATTAAACAGGTACAGAACTTTAACTATCTTGGTAGTGTAGCAACAGATGATGGAAAATGTGACAGAAAACTGAAGGTGTATTGGAATAGCAAAAGAAGCCTTCCAGAAACAAAACACATTAAGAGACATGAAAGTTTTATTAGAAACTAAGAAAAGAGAACTGATATGTTATATCATATCTATCATCATATATGGCAGTGAATGCTGGGCAATTTCCATTGAGATGAAGAATAGATTGAAAGCAAGAGAGATGTGCTTCTACAGATGGATGCTGAAAATATCATGGACTGAACATGTGAGCAATGAGGAATTTTTTTAAAAAATTGAAACTAAAATGACACTTATACTTAAAATCAGAAAGAGTTGAAATGTTAGGGAAATGAGGAAAAAGATTTTGAAAGATATGACACTCACAGAACATATTGATGGCAAGAGGATTTGATTTGTTGTTGATTTTTTTATGGCTTATCAACCTTTTGTGGGTTATTCAAAGCTGAAGCATATTTTGCATTGTATGAATATTTTTTTTTCTTAGTGAATATTGCATTAACAATTTTTTGGAGACAACAATGATTTTCCAGATACTAGTTTTATTATAGCTGGGGGGAGGGAGATGAAGGCAAGAGGGGCAGAGAGAAACAATGAGTAATCTACGTAAAGAGCTTGTGTGAATGGATAGCAGAACAACAACAAAGATGATAATATTATATTTAATATTTTTGCTGTAAATTCTCAAGAACAAAGAAAAAATATATATTCACTTTCATATGTTTAATTTTTATTACAATTCTAATCATCACTTTTTAAAACAACAAACATTGCTAAGAAGTGAAGGTAAATAAAATAATATCATTGTACTTTTGACACACTCTTCTTTTGTGACCACGAAGGTTAAAAGTTGGCAAATCTTCATTAACGAGATCGCACTCAAGCAGTCCACAACTTAATTCCAATTACTGGGCAGATAAGGTAATTTTGAGAGAGTGGTTTGCACAAGTTATCACCCACTTACTCAATTCTGCATCAGCTAATATGGTATGCCAGTAATGAATGTTTTTCTCAAGATATCTCATGATGGAACAGAGTGAATTGAGAAACTGATTTTTGCTTTTAGGAAGAAAAAAAAGAAAGAAATTCTGGTATTTTTATTTTTGTGTTGTTTGATTTTCATTGGTTAATCAGGCTTTACTAGACATGCGCACACAAACACACACTTACAAATATACATTATCGCCTGAATCCCACATAGAGAAATTAAAATTATGATACACTTACATCCATAAAGCAATATTTACATTTTTTCAGTTAGGCTTGGAATCCCTTAATGTGTCATCTTTCTTTGAATTCAGAATGTCATATATATACTAATCATGTTTAACAAGTCAAATGCACATGAAGTCTGACTAACCAATGAAAATGAAACAGCACAAAAATACCAGAATTTCTTCTTTTTTCTTCATATCTCATTCTCTGATGAAGCTTTAATAAAAGTGAAATGTATTAGATTGATAAACATTTCCTATTTGTTCTTTATCCTATCATTCTGCTAGATTCTGATCCATATTTGATCTGTATTTGATCCCAACTCATATATATATATATATATATATATATATATATGAACCTAAAGGTAGGTGAAACATTCCTGTAGCCCTGATCTAACTGTCTGTACATAAGGATCTTGGGTATCCTGTCATCAGACATTCTCAAAACATTACCAGTTCACCGAAACTGAGACTATATGAGAAAAGTCTCAATTCCTCCAATATTACACCTGTTAAACAGGACTACATTAGATATCCTATCTTGAAGGTTAAATCCACAGATGGCATGCAGACAGCTTTTATGGAAAACATCCAGCTGGCATATATAGTACCTGTATGGAGTCCACGACTCTGAGCCGTACAAAAGGATGGCAAAGACAACAGCTCTGTAAACCCGATTTTTCATATCCAGCCAAATACCCAGCTCATTCCACAAGCGATGGTGAAGTTTGCTGAAAGCACTGGTAGCCTTAGCAATCCGATGCATGATTTTCTATATATATATATATATATATATATATATATATATATATATATATTTTATTTACATTTGTATGGCATATTCACATATTCTAGTGCAGTATATAAAATCTTTTCAGGCAAAATTCATTTTCAGAATTAATTTCTCTACACTATTCTGTGTATATTCATTGTATTAAGGTGTAAATATCCTATGGATACATTAATGCCTAATATAGGTCTTAGAGACTGGAGAAAACAAGATGTTTGTTGGTATCAGTGATTTTAAAAGTGCATGACAAAATAATACATTATTTAAATTTAAAATAATTTTTCCTTTTTTTAGTGAGATTGTATTTTCAATATCTATGATTTTATTGTTTCATTCCAACTAGTTTAGCTATTATTCTTTTTAAAATTTCCTGACTCCTTCAGGAAATAGTCAAACCTATCTCTCCACAACTTCCCTTTCTTTAATATCTGTAAACTGTGCATTGCCATCATTATTTTGGGGAAAGATTAAATGGTCAGTCTGCATTGCTATTTAACTGATAACTCAGTAGCGGGAGAAAAGAGGGATTCATATTTTTCCAAGAGCATTGGTGTGAAATGAATGTCAACTGTTTCATCTTTTTTATACCCAAGGATGAAGGAATGGTGATTCCAGTTTTTGAAATGTTAACCTACACTTCTTAGTAAGCTATTATATATCATTAAAATCACAGTATTATTAACTCTCCCTTTTACTCTCTTTGTTGTTAATTTCTTTATGATTAACAATCAATAAATAGAGATATATGGATATTGTTGAGGTTCTTACTTTTTTCCATTCTGACTTATTTACTGGAAAAGCCAATCTTTGTTGTTGTTATTATTACACTAACCATCATACACAGAAGAAAAACCACCATTGTACAAACACAACTGTTCTTACTAACTTTGATACAAGACCACATAACTGGAACATTCAGTGAAGAATAAACTCACTAACAATGGCTTGTGAGAATAATGTGCTTACAACAGTTGTATTTTTATTTTCATGTGTAACAGCTGGAAATTAAAGTCATATTTGATTTCTTTTTATCAAAAACCCATCCATAAAATCAATCTTTCTCAATGACCCTAAACATTGAGATTTCAAATTACAAAGTAAAGTAAAAATCAATGTTTTTAAAATTCACCAATAGACTTTGTCCCAGTTATGGCAAATGTCTTTCTGTTTCCAGGTTTCTTAAGGAAAAAGAAGTTTATATTTATTTTATTGCATATGGTAACTTTAACTTTTACTAAATCATTTGATTGCATTTAATTTTTTTTTTATTCATTACACCTTTAGGAAGGTGATAAAGCTACTAAGTTGCAGTAGGTTACTGAGTGTAAAAGAATCCAAAAACATTACTGAGAAGAGGAAATAATAAAAGAACAGGAATTAAGAAGACAGAGGTATGATGGCTGAAATTGCTTGTCAATTTTTGAAGATTGTAGCTTAAATAAGTCTATTGCTGCAACGTCACTTGTACAAATCACAATATCACTGGTTCAATTCGCCTTCCTCGATTTCTTCACACGTCACTATGTATAGCCAACGTTTCTGTCCCCTTTTTCATGGCTCCAGCACTCTAGTAATTTCAACAGTAAAATGATGAAACATAGATGCCAAT